TCTTGAAGAGACAATTATCAGAATGATGTCTTTGGCTGCAATCTAAATAAGCGATGACTCAGGTCACCCAATGTTTAATTCTTAACCAGCATCAAGCATAATGCCCAGACTAAATGGTAGCGCTTTGTTTCTCTGTTCAAACTGATTGGTCGGCCATTTTGAAAAAAATTCGGCCTCTGGGTATGGATGAGGGGAAGTTTGCCTGGCTGGCAGATTTTGCCAAACTTTTAAGATGGTGCATTGTCGTTCGTTTCTCCCTGACTACAACGCTGACTTGTCAGGGTAAGTGAAGTCAAAGTTGGCACTTAATTATCATTACTATAGCATAGAGCTAAAAAGCCCCTAATGGAAACGTTCATTCGGTTCGACTTGCATTCTTTCTTCAACCCNCCCCCCCCCGTCCGCCCCATCCCCCCGTCTCGGTGAGGGAGGTAAGATGAAGGCAAGAAGCCAAGAAGATTGCTATTCCTTCTGAATGGGATGCTAGGCCATCGCAGGATATTGTCGACAACTTTCTCAGTTTGTCGGAATCCCCCTCGGTACCCATTTATACGCCTGCGTGGAGAGATGCATATAGTCTCTTGCCATGAGCATGTTTACATTGACGGACTGTACATAGGTTGACGTAACTCAACCTGCTTTTCTGTGATGTTAAACGAGCATCTGAATAGGAAACCCAATGGGTCAGTTATGTGAACGACTTTTAGACACTTTTTCAGAAGATTGTCCTCTAAACTGGGTCTGACGCCAAGACCAATACTTGTTAAGTCGCCGCTCATCTATTCAAAATTTCTCCTCTGACCTGCTGTGTAGCGGTTACAGTGCAGACGTATAGTCCTTACCTCAGTTTTAATTAAACAAGTCTACCTTAGACTAAGTCAATAGAGGGGACTGGTTATGAAGCCCGGGAAACATCAAGGGAGCAAACAAAGGTGCCAAGCCGATTTATGTTGGAAGGTCCACGACCGTGCACAATCTTTTGTTTTGCGCTCATACACCTTTCCCCTCTATTAACTATGCTTAGACCTTGGTACTTTCCATTCAACGAAAAATTCCAGAAATACAGAAATGCGGGCGAATTGGAGCTGAAACTTTGGGGAACAAACTTTCGAATAATTTTGGCGTTTCCCGGAAAGTTGTTCTCTTTTTTAATTTCGCCGGAAACTGTGGAGACATTTCGTTAGTCTACAAGAAAAAGCTGTTCCTTTTGTCACTGAAAATTTTCTGATTTTCGAACCGGAATTTGTGATCGTATGGAAAGTGCCTTATAATAATTAACAATTATTCACCGAAGTGGAGGTGAAAAGTGGTGGATATTTACCGAGTCGCGAAGCGGCGAGGTAAATATCCATCACTTTCACCGACACTGAGGTGAATAATTGTTTTAGTATATACC